GTTCTCCCAGTCTGGTGTCCAGGTTCTCCCAGTCTGCGGTCCAGGTTCTTCCAGTTTGGGGTCCAAGTTCTCCCAGTCTGGGGTCCAGGTTCTTCCAGTGTGGGGTCCAAGTTCTCCCAGTCTGGTGTCCAGGTTGTCCCAGTCTGGGGTCCAGTTTCTCCATGTCTGGGGTGCAGGTTTTCCCAGTCTGGGGTGCAGGTTTTCCCAGTCTGAGGAACATCTGATCCAACATGTTCCATATGAACAGCAGAAAGTACACCGAGAACACTGTCAGAGGTGAGCATGCAGAGCAGCAAGACAGGTGAGGCAGGTATAATATAGACAGCAGCCACTATCAGGACAGACAAACACAGACGATCTGAGGGATCTCACCGAGGTGGAAGAACCCAGCATGGCTTTAGGAGAACGAATCATCCCCGCCAGAGAATGACGAAGAGTGTCGAACCGAGAACTGCGCTCCTTCGACTTATCCTAAAAGGAACAGAGAGACATCAGAGGACAGACAGACGTCAGAGGACAGACATCAGAGGACAGACGGACATCAGAGGACAGACNCAGGTGAGGGACAGGTGAGGATCAGGTGAGGGTCAGCTTAAAGACAGGTGAGGGACAGGTGAGGGACAGGTGAGGGACAGGTGAGGGTCAGGTGAGGTTCAGGTGAGGGTCAGGTTAAAGATAGGTGAGGGACAGGTGAGGGTCAGGTTAAAGATAGGTGAGGGACAGGTGAGGGTCAGGTTAAAGATAGGTGAGGGACAGGTGAGGGTCAGGTGAGGGACAGGTGAGGGACAGGTCAAAGACAGGTGAGCGGTTAAAAGCCACAGGAACCAGTCACCTTTCCCAGGAGCTCTCCGAGCAGAACATCCTCATGGTTCAGGATCCATTTCTTGTCCTGCAGAGAAACACAGTTTGAATGTCAGACTCTGTGTAACACGGCCGACTGAACACGCGTGTGTTGGTGTGTGTGGTGAGCGGTTGCCTTGATGACGGGGTTGAGCAGCACGACTCCAGACTTCTTGGTGATGACCTGTTTGGTGGAGAAGTGATGCTCAATGAGTTGAGGGATGGTGGAGAAGCCGGTCCCTTCGAAGCGGTACTGACTCTAACATAGAGAGTGTCACAGTTTAGTTAGTGACAGAAACACTGAGAGTTTCATTAATTTACTGACTGAAACACGGCAGATTAGCGTGTTTTTATTCACACGCTATTCAAGAGCCACTCTGGGCTTGTTTTTCAGACTCAACAGATCACGGTTGGGGTTGTATTTCTGCACCACTGTCTGCAGGTGAGGCTGCAGGCTGGACTCACCTGAAGTGTTCTGCAGCCTGAGGTTGTCATGGAGACAGGTTTTACTGCATGCAGCTTTTAAAGTACGTGTTCACTGTGTCTTGTGAATACGTACATCTGCGTACTGGATGATGAAGTGTCGGCGCTGCTCGTCAGAAAACACGGACAGCACGTATTCGCCCGGTTTGCCGTGACTCTCTCTGACCAGGAAGTCTCCCTGTTGCCGTAGTAACTCCTGCGCCTCAGTGCGAGGGATGGCTCCATGGTACCACTCCTGCTCTGCCAGGGGGCGCTCTGACGTGGGGATCACGTCGAAGAACTGCTGCAGGGGGCACAAGGAGAAGAACGATTACAGTTACTGTCAGTGACAAACTCAGACCTCCAGCAGTTAGAAAGAACGCTGTTCCCTCCATCATCACTGCAGCTGCAGAGAGGCAGCGTCCCGCATCCGTCCGTCTGAACTAGCCAGAAACAGGTCCAGTACAGATACAGGTACACAATACATCACATGTGACCGGCCGGTTCTCCCAGTCTGGGATCCAGGTTCTCCCAGTCTGCG